ATATTTGATCCTATTGCATTAATCAATTGTATTAAATATGTCTTTCTTGAATGAATGAAGCTTCGTCTGTTCTCGGCTGAGAACAGGCCTGTAGTAAGCTGCCATAATTKTCATCTCTGCAGCTTTGAGCTGCACTAACTGATAAGAAGCAACCCTGTGATTGGTCAAGATGCTTTTCTCTTTGCTCTGTTTGTAATAAATTGCTCAGCTTTCCCCAGCCAAGGTCAGAACTTTCTKCTGAGACCTGTCTTAAGCGTCCTCAGAAACTTCTCACTCTTTGCAAAGAGAAAACTGTTTTAAACTGAATACTTATGTCTGTGTCTGGTTCATTTCTTTTTAAGGGGTAATTTAATGTCCAATCTGACACAGCYCCTGTCAACCTGGCTGACTGAGAACAATTATATACAATAAACTTCKTCTACAGAACAATATACTTGTTAAATCACATTTTTCTTYGAGATTATTTTGGACAACCAARATGTTTTGCGGACAACCAGGTTTTGTCAATAGATTTGTCCGCTGGACAACCTGAAAAATATCCTTTTGTCTACCCCTGGTCTGTGCTTCAGTTCACCTCTCCTCAATCCCTTTTCTGCCCACAGAAATATGACTCCAAAGCCCAACTGACCACACGCTCCTCTTTGCAGTCAGCATTCTTAGAAAAGATCCCAAGAGCCAAATTATTAACAAATTAGTACCAAAAAATGTCTGCGCAGTGGTGTGCAATACATGTTTGCTACACTGGGGTTCTTTTTAGCCACTTCACGAGCCCCCTCTGCAGAAGGGGTCAAGTGATTGTGCAACGTGGATTACGATCATGTTCAGAAAGCTCATTGAAAGTGAAAGATATCCCTCAGAGGAATGTTAATAGAGGCAAAACCTTGAAGCGATTCCTCGTCCAAGAGCGGGAGCCAGGGTGGACTGATCGAAGGTCTGCATGAGGAAGGAAGGAAGGAGTGGGGGGGGGATGAAAAAGCGAGCAGTTTTCTTTTTATACAAGAATGAGGAGAGAAAGGGGAGATTTCCACTTTCCAGAGGAGTCAAGGGAGACATTCAGAGCACGAGTGCGGGGGATAGATAAAAAAGGCAGCGTTGAAGACGAGGATCCTAAAGTTGAAGACTTTTGAGGAAAAAGCCTTGAAGGTCTCGGGAGGAGAACATGAGAGAGTCTCGTAAGAACAAAGAGGTTTTACAGAAAAACCACGCAATACATCTCCAAAAAGTCATATTTCTGGTAACTAAAACATTTAACTCTCCATACTGATATATGGGAAATTTGCTAAATAAAAGCATAAAAGCTATGATTTGGATTGAAAAGTCAAAACTTTTCACGTGGACAAGTTGTCCATTTTCCCACTGCCCTGTTAGTGGAGCTGCTGACTTCATAACACGACAACCATCTGATCCTCGTTCCTCCTCCTGGGACGGAGAGAGGTTTTAAAAAAATAGGAGGAGGAGGAGGGTGTATTTGCATTCCTGGCTACTATTGGCTGGTCCGCATGAAAGAACAGGCCAACAAAAGCCCCCTGAGTGCCTCTGGTTGCCAAGCGCTCAGATGATGGACAGCTCGTGGACGAGGGATTACGATGAGGGATCACAGGGTTTGTTTTAGTCCAAAACATCACTGGCTTGTGTCTCATGTTGTGCGTAGGCACCATGCTAAAAAGGCACAGGAAGACTCTGCTTGAGTTCCTCCGATTCTGGTCACGATCTCTTAGTCAAACTAGAACACTGAATACTTTCCAGGCTTGAAGAACACACATTATTCATACAACCTTGAGTCTGAAATGGTTTCCACTGGCATTCCTACAAATAAAAAGAATCCAGAAGTCCAAAAGTCTTCGACCCCTAAAGCTTCGAGGTACAACTGGAGTCTGAGTGCAAGAGGACATTCAACAAAGCAGTGTGGAATCCATACATCACACAAACGACTGACCATTCACGTCGCCTCCATTAGCCAAACCCATCACCCTCGGCCTCCAGATGACTCCTATGTAGGTCACTCCATGTGTTACCGCAGCCGCTCAATAAGAGGATTAACGCTGCTAACCCTAAGACAGTAATCTTAGCAGATCAATATCAGCATAATATTCAAGCAGATATTCCCTTAACAGCAATTAGTCCAAGGCTGCAGCTGCTGGTTGATTAAACCGGTTTAGAGTCTCTGTTCTGTCTGTTCTTAATGAGAATGACAGTTCTGCTGATTCAAGCTTCCTGTTTCAATTCCAGCAAATATGAAATCTAAATKACCACGTTAGATTTGTTGGCGTTATTTAAAAAAAGAAAACAGCTACGGTTGTGTCCTCGATGTTCCAGCTTGGCTCGAWACAATTACATAGCTCGTCAGAACCTATCAGCGATGACTGCGGCGCAATCTTTAATAACGAGCACGTCGTGGATTAATCTGACCCGCCGCCACAAGCCTGGCTCCTCTTTGCTTCTGATGCTGCACTGCTTGTTGTTAGATGTTAGTTTACAACAAAAGATTGCCTTTTGTCRTGGGATCTGTTAGTGTTCGGAGCATGTGTTTGGCATGACCGCCCCCAACTACCACAACACGTTTTGGCTCAAGATCTACAAAACTCACTGAGAGCAGAGGTCAACCGGTGCATCCAATTATTACTCTGGAGTTTTATCAAATATCAAAACTCTTATGTTTAGATCTCCTTCCTTGGTGGGCGAAAATCAAAACCGGAAATTAGTCTAACTGATAAACGCTAAAATAGAAAACATTTCAAAAACTGGAACATGGGTATTCCAGAAGGTAGTTAAAGACCACTGTTTGTTTATTAATGAATGACCTGAAAGTTTTAAAGACGGTCTGTGTCAAATGTATGCAAAATGTTATGATAACACATTATTATATATCTGTAACTGTAAAGACTTGACACCTGGAAGCAGAGTTACTGGACAGCCACATGGAGTGGTGTAAGAATCTTTGTTTTGGTTTCTCAGTTGCCTCAACACTGTCTGATTTTAATCACAAGTTAAAAGAAAAGAAAATATCCTCCCAAAAACATAAATGTGATCAAATGCAATTAATAGGCTTTTATGTACAAAATTCTGCCATTTTTGTCTATAATCACTTAGCCTTTTGACTGGATTTGCATAAATTGAACTTATTTTATACTTTAACCTGCAGCTGTGGTGCAGTGACAGGGCAACCAACTTGGGAGCCGAAAGTTGCAGGTTTGACTCCCTGCCATGCCCATATATTGCTGTGTCCTTGAGCAAGACACCCACTCCCTAACTGCTGCCGGGGCACTGACCAAGTGGCCCACTGCTCCTCTTSGATGCAGGTGTGATAGATTAAATGCAAAGCAGTTTTATGATTTACTGTAAAAACCAGACAGTTTGAAAATTTAAGGCATGTTTTTTCCTTTATTGTGGTGCCATTGCTTTGACATCTTGTTGACTTGTGAAACTGAATGAATCAGCTTTAGCTTGCAGCAAAAAAACAGCCTTAAACACTTGTCTCTACCTCCCTGCCTGACACCAAACTCTTTCYAAAACAAAGTTCGATGCTGGGCGGCGTACAGTGTCACAACTGTTAAAGGTGAAAGTTTTGTTTTAAATGCAGGACGTGCAACAGAACAGCATTGTGTGTCAAGGGATTCCAGCCTTTTCTCTTGTCCTTCACTCCTCCTCCTCTTCTTTCCTGGACCATCTAGTATTAATAATAGAAGAAGAGCATCGTGGATTTGCTCGCTGACAGCCTCCATGTGTTCCAACACTGGGGGCACGAGTCTTAACTTGAAATTCCTGTTATCCTCCGCCCCGATGACAGGAAGGAAAGTGCACGAGGGCTGCGGCTGATCTTGCTTTGGCAACAATAAAAGTCACCCCTGCTTCCTGACTCAGGATAGTCCCAGAAACTGAAGAGTTACAGCGAGGCACCAGGCTGACTGACTCATTCAACAAATCTGATTAGGAGGAAACAAGTTTATAAAATCCAAGTTCACGAGGGCTCTGAGGATGTTGGGAATGAGCTTTCCCTTTAACTTGAAGGGTTTTATGGAGAGCTGTTTTTCCTTAACCAAGAAGTGGATSTGACATTGTTTTATTGTTGCGTATTTCAGTGGAAGTCAAAACCATTAAAATAACGTGAGCGTCTGGCTGGCCGTGCCAAGTCACGCGCCCTCTTTTCGGTCAGAGCGCACGGAATTGGTTGAAAGTTTTTCCTTCAAAAGACCTGATTTACAACCTTGGATGACCTGATGATTTATTGTGTCAACCTCCACTACTACCCCCCACCTCTCCTGGACGGTTCCAGGTCTCTGGTGCCCCCCCACCCTCAGCAGCACTGTAACCTGCAGTCCTCTCCCCCCAACCACCTCCTCTGATCCTTCKGATCGTCGACGGTGCGCCAGATCCGTGCCAAAAGCTTGCGCCACACCAGTCTCGCCTCACGTGCGGCCATTTTTTCCCTGCAACCCCATTGTGGCGCGCGCACACTTAACAACCAACAGCAATATATGTGAAGGTGAGGGGGCGGGGGGCGCATCCGAGTCCAGAACTAGGTCCAGTCGGTGAGACTGGAATCCGGTTCTGGCAGCTGAAAGATGAGCAAACTCTAAACCGTCTTTGTCTAAATGTTTGAATGAGCGCTGATAAAAMCCCCAACTCAGAGTCCCCACGTCCGGCAAAATGTCCACGAGACGTGTTTTACCTGTGAGTCACGCGCTGTGGTCCTCGGACCATCCCAGATATAAAYATCCAGGTCGCCTCCAGACACTCAGCTGACCGTCCGGGTCCCGCAGCAGACTAAACCCGAGAACATGGTGTCAATCAAACCCAACATGCTCCGCCCTGTGGCTGACGTCACCACGCACCGTCCAACTGCAGCTGCGGAGTAAATCAGCCGCGCACGACTGTAGATAGACGACTTCATCACAATGTAAGGCAGCATCTCATTCATATGAAGCACAGAAGAACGGTTTATTTAAGTTATTAAATAATACTCACAATTCTGAAAGAGTAACCTTCTTATCGCTCGCCGCAGAAAGGAGAAACGCGCGCAATATGTGTCTGTCTGTTAGCAAAATATCTAATGACCCGCTGGATATATTTTAATAAAACTTTCAGAAGATAATTATTGAGCACTTTTCTACAACTGTTTATGTTTTGAAGCCAATTTGATCCGAGATGGCCGCCACAGCTAATCAAATGTTGAAAACACATAAATGGCTGTAACACGGCTGGTTTTAAAGATATGGAGCTAAAATTTGGTTTGGTGATAGCTGAGGGTATTTCTCAACTTCGACTTGGAGCAATAATGGCTCACACAAGATTTTTGCCAAAAGTTTTGCCGTTAACCCTAGGGAGTCAACTATGATTTTCTGTTAGCAAAGTGTCTAATGAACCACTAGATGGATTTAAATGAAACGCACAGAAATTAACAACAGGATACATGTTTACAAGTGATTMACTTCTGGAGTCAATATTCAAGATTACCACTGCAGTTAATCGAACATTGCCAAAAGAAAAAKGACTTTAATGCAATCACTTTTAAAGATACTGAGCTAAAYTTTTGCRAGATAATAGATGAGAGTTAATTATAACGCATATCATGAATAACATTGAGCAACACGTTGCTGTATGCAGGGAGATCCTACTCATATTTTCATGGTTTGACCAAAATTATGTTGTCATTTCTTAATAAAACTTGATCTTAGTTTACTATGAAAGCCCTTGGTTGATATGSATTCCTTCAAGAAAAGCTCGAACATTTTGATTATATGGGAAAAACAGAATTTTGTTTTCTATTATATATTTTTTCCTTTGTTGTTGTTTTTTGCAGCTAAAGAAGAAGAGTGTTGCAGCATGATCTGCAGTCAGTGTAACTTGGTCCTTTTTGCACCAACATGAATGTTTAAGATTTAGGTTATAAATAATGGTTGTCTTCCTGTCGTCTTGCAGCACTCATCTCGCCTGATCCATCAGGCATCCTGTTTGAGTCTTCAGATTTATTCTCTGCAGCAAAGAAAAAAAAAAAGACACTGACTTCCAAACGTGTTTTCACTGTCTCACTTTTTAACAAAACTCTTGAATTTTCTGCAAACAATTGTAGAGACGACACTGATGGATGAGTGCTTGATCAATAACCAGAAAATGGGATCGTCATCAAATTTAATCTTTAATTAATTTGTTCATCTATTTGGGATTTTATAGGATAAATTTCCAAAACATAAAAACCTTGTTGAATCAGAACTTCGTCCAGCTGCAGCAGTATTTCAACAAGCATCATCATAAAAAAAAACAGATTTTATGAATGAAACAGGTCGGAGTTTTTGGAAGTATGGTTCTGTAGAAATGTTATCAACAATAAATATCTTACTTGTTATAGATAACTCTGGGAATGTCTTCGATTTGGAGAAAGACAATTGAATTCTGACCAGATTAACAAGATGGTGAAAAGCAAAAAAACTTTCAAACCTTAGAAAATTTACAGTACTTTATGTACTTCGAATCTTTACGACTGGATAGACGTCTATGATAAAAATGTTGCACCAAGACACGAACAGATTCCTCCTCTCTATAGACCACCTATCCGCTCTCTCTCTCTCTCTCTCTCTCTCTCTCTCTCTCTCTCTCTCTCTC